ATAAATGGACTGTTCCTTTGTAACCATCATGCTGTGATGTCTTTGAATAAGTGGTGCCTCGATATACTGACATATACAATCGGGTTGCAATATCCAACTAAGATCATGTTTATTTTCCTGTAATATTACTTCTTGTCAATTACTATATATACATCTTTTTTATAGAGAACAAGGAAAATCAATCTCAGATTGTACTCAAAAGGCTTAACGAATGCAAAAAGGTGACAACGACCATTACTTTGTTATAAAGCAGGGGTGTCAAACTCAAATACACAGTGGGCCAAAATAAAAACATTGGTACTAGTCGAGGGCCGGACTGGTTCAATGTTTATTGAAATTAACTTATTGCACATATTAAACCTGGAACTAACAAAGCTTAAATTATTGCCTATAAAAACAACATTAAATAATCAGTTGCATTCATTTCTCATGGCTCTATCTGCAGCTTTTCCAGAGTCATTTCTTATGATTACATTTTTCCACAGGCTAACAGCTTAAAAAAAACTCCCCTCAAAGAAAAAACCAAACATGCCCTGTTGTCTCAAGAAAGAATGTGCAGAATGAAACATCCATTGAAACTCAGTTTGCTGCTCTGTCATAATTAGAAATCATTTCTGAGAATCACTGTAAACAAATAGGTCCTGAAACTCGTCATAATGCCTGTTTGCATCATTTCAAACAGCATTACTGTCTTATAGGGTCATAAGTACAATGTTACAAACTGTTGAGTTTCATAACTGTAAACCAATCAGTCCAGGTAAAAAATGAAACGTCACATAAATAAGAAAAATATTTATTCATTAAAAAAAGCTTACACCAGTTCAAAAATGCTACATTATATTACTGGGCGGAGAGATAGATGAATTCATACATACTATTAAAAAAGGTAATAAGGCATCTTGCATATACAAAAGTGATGTGAACAAGCCCCTTCAGTTATTAAATATATAGCAAAGAATATGATACATATTTGTACAGCATCAATTGCATAATTACTACAAGTTGACATTACCTGCCTGGCGAATTTGTATTTTATTTCGACAAATGCGCAATCACAGTCGTGATCACTTCCAGCTCATCTTAGCAGTGAATATAACAAACTGTCGTAATGCCTCTCTCACAATGCATCTTCACACGGGCAACAACATTCTTGCACTTGATCAGACTGGATTGTGTACAAATACAACACATTTATATTTGCCCCAGTTGCCAGATATAACTGCAAATATGACCAGTTTATTTCAGATTACTGTTTTCATTTTAATATACCCATAATCTTTTGAAAACAAGTGCAATGTGTACATTTTGTGCAACAGAAAAAAGACGACTGAATTTATATAATAAGACGATAATACAAATCATAGCACAGTTAATGCTTAAGTGCGGGCTACACATGACATAACAGAAAAGGAACTTAGTGCTAAAGGAAAGCTGTATGGTATACTACATCAAATCTGATTTAAGGCAGAATTCAGTTGACATACTGTAGTAAAGAATAAGTTAAGAGATTAGAATAAAAAGCCCTCATTTGGATTTTAAAAAGCCCTTACAGGCTAAGGAATACGCCCTTAAGAGATGAATGAGCTTTTTGATTCATTAAGTTACAGACACAGCTTGGCTAAGGTAAGAAATGCCAGAAAATATATATGCGCAAGGTTACATCCATCCCTGCCCAGTGATTTTAAATGCTTTTCAGTGCAAAATGGACACAGCTCATTCACACCATTATTGTTTAGCTTGTAGTCTGACATGTTTTAAAAAGAGAATGTCACAAGTTACTCCATTTAAAAAAAGTGTTCAGTTGTACAGTAACATTTTCCTCCGTTGGCTTGTTTTTGGAATGTTTTTCTCCTCTTCTTGACGTCAAACGAGTTACTACTGTCATAGCCAGGCTTTGTCCATGCTGGAGTAACAGTGGTCTGCATCAGTGTGCGTAATGCTCAGTCCGTCAGAGTCCACACAGTCGAACACTATGCCTTCCACGTCCACCTCCACGTCCTCTGTAAAGGGACCGACAAAACATCAACTCCATTAGTGAAAGAGAAAAAACACGATGGAAATGTGGGAAAAGAACATGCAAAAATATTTTGTTAACTTGTGTTTTTGTGGTTCTTGCTTCAATCATTTGGATGAAAGATTTATGTAAGTTAATAACAAAATACAAATAATAACGTCACAATACTTTTCCTTGAGGTTGATAACCTGTAATATTGATTACTTTTGATTTAGTTTCATTCATAATATGTAAAATGTCCAAATCCTAAACACTTATTAATGAGTAGACTACACTAATGTATGATTAACAAATACGTTTTGACAGAAAATTATTTTTGGACATATTTTTTTTTAGAAGGTTTCTCTCCGTCTTTTTTTTTTTATAAATCCTCTGCTGGAATTTCTAATTTCCATTAGAGCAGAATCACAGGGGTTTGAATGTGACAGAATAATGATCAAATATAACCAAACCTTTAATTGTACTTCAAGCTATAAAAGGCTACACATTACTGTGACTACGCCTGGTTGAGAGGCTTGGTACGTACCTCTGTCAGAGTCCGACCTCTCAGACGACATGGTTGACCCATGACTGTCGTTCCTCATCCTCTCGGAGCCTCTCTGCAGCTGCTCCAGCCGCACCCGCAGCTCTCTCTGCTCCCAGCGCAGACGGCCCTTCATCTGCTCCGCACGCTCATCCTGCTCCTGCAGCTTCTGAAATTGAAAAAGAAGAGACGGAAAAGTGAGCAGGGGACTAAATATGTAGACCCAACTTTAGAAGGTATCTATCAAATACTGTTAGCAAATGCACCATGATATCAGGACAATAACTGTCCCATTATCATGTTCTTAACTAGGACTTCTATGAGTCATGGTGTTGTGTACCTTTATGTGCAGCTGGGCTCGTCTCAGCAGGTTGAGTGTGGTGTTCCTCATCGAGTCAGATGACAGAGGGACTTGCTTCTTCAGCTCCTCTAGATGGTGCCTCAGCTGAGCCCGTCTAAAAAGCACAACAGATGTTATTTCATGGAAGTGAAAACAGGCCTTTCAAGATTGTCCTCTGCATTTGGCCTAAATATAAAAGTTTGTTTTTTTATACACTTGTGATATAATCTATTGTTCATGACAAAATAGTCCATACCTGTTTTTTTCCAGCTCGTTGTGAACTGACCTGCAGGTACAGAAAAATACAGTTTTGTTAAGCTATGAAATATGTTCATGTTTACAAATGCATAACCACACCCTTTTTTGTCAGTTGTCTGTTATGCAAGGTATTCACCTATTGCCTCCACCACCAGCAGATATCTTTCTGTTCTTCTGTTTGCTCCTCTTGTCAGAGTCATCTGGACTGAGAGGAAGGAGTGAAGCATATCCATGTTCTGCCTCTGTGCAGGAAAAAAAACATCACAACGGTGTAAGAAAACTGTCTGAAATTAAATAGCAACGATGTTAAGTATAAATACTTAAAGTGATCCCATTATCATCGGTAATGAAACCTAGTGCTATAAATGATCATATAATATCTAATCTCTTCCTAAATCGTCAGAAGAGAAGGACAAAAGCTGCTGTCAACAGCATCATCAGCTGGGCGTTTTGTTTTTGGCGCCATCACACCGCTCTTTCACTTTTATAAAACGGCTCTTTGTAGCCTCACAGGCAGAAATGCAAAATAAGATTTTACATTGTTTTAATAGGAAATGAAACGTTGAGTTTAGCGTTGTCCCTTTCTCACTTTCATTGACAGTAGAGAGCGTTCACCGCCGCTCTAATTCCTTTTCAAACTGGAGCAGATTGGCGCCTTTGAGTACAATGATGAGACCGATATGTAGGTCACTGAGTAATGGGATGGATCGCCTAATGTTACCCTTGTTGCAGAAAAAAATATACCCTATGCAACACTAACATTCTGTTGTATATCTATATTGTGTTTTGCATTACATGCATAGTTCATTTAGCTTCAAATGCATTTCGTTGGGTTAACAATAACCAACTTCCTCCCCTGTAGACTGACAGTTATCATAAAAACCTTACCTCGCTCTCTTCTCTCAAGAAACTCAGCAGCCCGGAGAAGCACCTGGATGTTGCAAATGGTTCCTTCCATTATAATTGTTGTTAAAAGAACAAAATCTCTGGTAAACAAGCAACTGTGGCGTAAGCGTCGGCAGTCAGGAGATGAAGCTGTGTCTGTGCTACGTCCTCAGTTGAGACCACAGAGCCTAAACACTGGCGCTGCGTTCACGTGTTCGGCGTAAACTCGGACATGTAAAACTGACGTCAAAAAAAATATCCGGAGGGCACAACGTTGATCTATAATAGAGACAAGGAGGAACATTTAACTAAAGTATTGGCATCTGGTGCCTCATTTTCGTTAGAAAAGAGAAAAAAGTTTATGTTTTGGTGACTTTTTATTTACTTTTTCATTGTATAAAGTTTTAAGGTTACAATTATAATATGTCCGAAAGCAATTGAAGGCATCTACAGTCAACGTAAAACGTCATGTCAAAGCTCCCTCCCCTCCTGTTTGACAACACCTTTATTTTTCAAACATTCATTATTTTGGCGGACTATATTGACTTGTGCTTGACTGATATTTGCATGAACTTATACTTTCTTTCCACTATTATATTAAAACCTAAAGAAAAACATGATATAAGATGGCCGTCTGAGAGCTAACGTAGTTTTGTAAAGTTGCATTGTTAGCTACATATGCTTTTGTTACACTTAGTATAATTGTACTCTCCCCCTCTTCCGATGTATAAAAAACAAATGTGTATTTGCCTAAATCCATCTGATTATCTTACTATTCAAATATTTTTCATTTACCAGACGGTGTACATTTAACTTGCATACTTTTAGTAACATAGAATAACATGGTCTTATTATGTTGAAAACGCCAAAACAATCGTTTCCGTAGTTAATGTAGGCGGGAGGATATGTCAAATTGGATTTTCATTCACATAAGAAAGTGGGAGGGGAGGATTGCCCTTACCAAAGATGGCGGTGTCTGGCTTCAGTGCTTGCATTAGGTTTCAGTTGTAGTCTCCCTATAGGAGTGAAGCCGCATTGCCAGCAGTATCTTTAACCTATGAACTCCTGAGTGTGCCAGTCCTCCGCCATATTGACTGTTGTCTTGACTGGAGGAGATAGAGAACATTTTTGAGGTCCGAGAAGAAACGAAAGTGTGCTCTCCAAATCCTCGAAACTGGTGCAAACTTGGCCAAAGCGTATTATAAACAACACCGTAATGGCAAGGAAGAAAAGCAAGCAGCCAGGAGTCGCCCAGAAGGAGCTTGCGCCCGGACAGCAGACCGCACCGAAGAGCCCAGTCTCTCCCGGCGATGCAGCTGACGGTGGCGGCGGCGGAGATGCTGGGCTGGATAGGCTGGCCAATACCAGGGCGAACCAGGTAGCTAGCAACAAGCCAATTGCTGCTTTTAAAACAGGCTAGCTAGCATCTGAGCTAGCATCACTCTGCTAATCCAAGCATCTTTCATTGTGCTATTTTCTTCTAGCTAGATTGTGCAGATGTGAAGTTATATGCATCCGCTGTCTGGTTGAAAGCTATTTGTATCGTTATGTAGTAGTCGTAGATGTTGTACTCTCACATCGATTGATATGTTAATAAATAAATAATAGGCTCAACTTAGCTAACAGACTCGTCCCTAGCAGGCGGCGTTGAGGCTAGCTTTGCAGCCCAGCTCCTCTGACGGACAGGTGACATTGTGCCTCGGACAGGTCGTACAATTTCCAGCATTTACAACTATTCATCCGCACAGCTTACATTAGCCCGAAGGCTAGCTGGGCTATCATCTCCAGCTAGCGCGTTGCAAACGTGCTTAGTGCCTGCAGTTGAACCCAATACACAGGAACCACACAGCCAGCAGTAGCTAAACAGCTGCTAGCAAGCTAATTATCTGGTTAGCTTTACTAGATAACGAGTTCATAATAAAGCTAGCTAACTAGTTCGAGTTTTTTATTCGACTCTATCATACTGTTTACCTCTTTTGCTGTGTTGCACTACCGGAGTGTGACAGGAGCTCATGTTAAAAAAAGTTTAATGCATGAAGCTATCGGACAGTGATGCCTAGGCTTAGTAGGCTAGCTAAGTCGAAGTCAGTGTGTTAGCTAAGTTGAGGGTAAACACTAACCTTAGCCTTAAAAAGAGAAGATGCTACTGCAGGTTTTGACCACTGTTGCCTCAGCAACCATCTGACCTCAGAGCCTTACGTTTTCACATGTTAAACCACCACAACGGTATGATGCCAGTTTAGACACGTCCCAATGCTACTGATAACATATTTCATTTTTAGGCAGAATTGTGTTATGCTATTGTAATTATCAACATTCACTAAGCTTTTATAGTATTATGCAACTATACAATTATATCCAGAAAATACTGGAAAACATCTCCTATATCCATAACTGTTTAGAGAGTTGTTGATTTAACCTTTTAAGTTTTGAATCACCTTTGTATTATTCGTTTTTGCTGGATGCACTGAATAACAAACTAACTGACTGTAAAATGCACACATAATCCATATTTTAAAAGGTCTGTTGACTGCCTACTATGTTTTGGTGACAATGTCCTAATGCAGAAACTATCCTGACAGACATCTGACGTAGTAGACCATATTTTTATTTTCAATCACAGGCGCGTACTCAACCTCTTTATCCTGTGTCTCTCTCTCTCTCTCTCTCTCTCTCTCTCTCTCTCTCTCTCTACCTAGCCTATGCACACCTGCTGCCTCCTGTGCCACCGAGAATTTAAGGACTGGGGAGCAAACTCTGTGAACGGACTCCCTGGGGGCCATGGGACCAAGCTGGCTGATGCCGTGCCTGCGCTCTCCCAGGCCTTATTGCGGGAGGCACCAGGGCGTAAGCTTGCTGATGCCGTGCCCTCGCTGTCTCAGTCCCTGCTGGGAGAGGTGCCTCTGTGGATATGTCAGAGCTGCTGCAAGAGTGTGGAAGAGGAAGAGAGGCGAAGCACCCAGGAGCAACCAGCGCCGGTAAATAAAAAAGGACTAATTTGGGTCATATGTCTGGATCCTTTTTTACAACTTCTTTGTACTACGTTTTAGTTTAACTGTGTTGGTTTCTGTCGACGGAGGCAATCTCTTCTTTATTCATCATACAAGGCATGTGCTTACTCACTAAATAAATCGTAGTCGTAAGTTTAAACGTATAGTCTTTTTTCATATTCAGTAGTACCTTATTTTGTATTTATGTCTCTGGCATATCTAAGGCAGCAGCAGCAGCTATCAACTCTGCTTTCTTAGGTTTTTTTTAACACAAATGCTTTGCATGAAATGCAAATGTCAGACTTCTCTTTCATCTTACTTAAGCTTCACTTGAGATGAACTTGGTGTCCCAGAGGTTTTGTTGATATTTGGTTCAAACATGCAAATGTGAGGAATAAGGAACAGAATGAGAGACGGCTACCTGCAGTGATTTATTTTATGTTTTGTTTGTTTTTTTACTTAATATGGATTTATGGATTTTTCGCTTGTCAATCTATTTTCAATGTATTACAAGAACATTTAGTTTGTTACTTGGTGCCAATAGGTTAGCCTACTGTATTTAAACAGCTCTGTGATTAACCAGTGTGGGCTTTGTTTTTTTTATTATTTTGCAGGTACCATTGTCACACTCTTCCTCCTGTAAGTCCCAAAGCTGTGGGAACGGTTACCCGGAGCAAAGTACTGTGGATTGGGACCCAAGTTCCTTCCTGTCAGCCCACAAACTGTCAGGGCTCTGGAACTCTGCCCACACCAACGGAGGGGAACACTGCAACCACAACACTTCTTCACACTCACAACCAGGTCTGTCTTTGCAGGGTAAAACACAGCTCCAGAAAAAAAATCTAGTGACATTGACAGTAATTGCTGAAAACATCAAAGACCTACATTTCAGGCTGTGTTGCAAGTTACAGTTTTGTAAAATATACACAAATGTGGTTAGAATCAGTCTCTAAGGATGGCTTGTTAGCCTTCTTAGTTCCCAATAAATGTGTGATTTATTTTTGGCCACTTTGTTCAGGTGTTAGTTTATTAGGTCTTAGAAGTATAAAGAGGCATCTTGTAAAAGCTTACTCGGTGAGGTAGATGCTTTTAAAAATAACACACTTTCCATCGAAGATGATTTTACTAAATCAGAGAATATGACTTGTGACTAAAAAAGCTAAAAGAATACACTGGATTAAAAATCCACATTTAAGTCTTTGTCAAATTTCAGGGATTACATTAAGGTCACAATCTGTTTGAATATCTTCTGAGATAAACTTCAGAATTATTGAGCACTTATTGGATTCAGCTTTTTAATATAAAAATACTTAAAAATGGACCCTTAAAACCCTCTTTTATAGGGCTGTGGTTGAAAAGTGATCATCTCTTACATAAAGTGTGATTTATTTCTTGAAATATTTAACTTCCTTAGATCTAATAGGGAATTGTGTTTGGTGATGGATATGATGGCTTTCCCAGTAAGGATTGTTTGGTGTAATGAAGTGAATGATGGTGGACATCGAAGTGCCTGCGTCAAGATGCATCAAAGCATTTTAAGATATAGTTGAATGATGTTGTATCCTAGCTAAATCATTGGACAGATATATCATTTTATCATTTGAGCATTTCTTGGTTCAATAGGACTGTATAACACATTTACTCGGGTGCATTACTTAGTTATAACATTGTCTAGCCATTGCAGCGATACCTGAGAGAAGTGCCTCGAGAGGAGAATGGAATGTGAAAGTGTGGCAGGTTTGTCCTGGGCCTGAGACGGGCAGTTGTTTTATAAGGGAAGCATTACATTTCAGACAGCTATGATTTTAGCTTTTGTCTGTTTGCTTCCTGTTTCTTGGCTTTATTCAGACCACCTGTAGAGTTTACCGGATGCATAGTTATGGTTCTATCTCTAGTTTAGCTTATTCTCAAATGGGTCATCTTGCCAAATTGCATTTAACTCTTGTAAAGGAAATTAGTCATACTTGATGGCATTTGTGCTCAGTGAGTGCAACGGTACACTTTCTGCATGGACTCAATTTAATCCCAGATGCCTGCCTTTGTTTAACTTTATTCCATTTAAAAGTTTGCAATAATAACAATAATGTTTTCAACTAGAAATAATATCCCTGTTTTATAAGTTGAATTAGAACCGAGCTAACTATAGTACTTCTAGATGCCATTGCAGATGTTTAAGCTGGTATCAAAGGGGAAATTTCTGCACTGATAGCCGGTGTCAGGTAGAATTGCAAAGTGAAAGGCTGGCTGATAGGGAACCAATGTAAATGCAGATAGTCTCCTTATTCTATAGCTAATACATTGTAGTACTACTTCCTTGTTTTTGTTTTGATTATCAGAAAGGGGCTCTCCCCTTTTAGAGCTTAAGAATGTCTGTCAATGCTGGTTTCTTTATCATAGCAGTGAGAAATGATCACCATTGGACAGATGAACATGTTTAAACATGCCTTCATAGAGAAGGAAATTATTTGTACGAGACATAAACCGCAGTCTAAAACAAGACTGTTGAATGACTGAAATCTCAGCACCAGGCAATTTTTTCAGGATTATTCAAGGACATTGATTGAAGCACTCAAACAATCCAGGAAGTTATGGTGCTCAAATCAAAATACGATTATTTTTGGTTGGAACTTTTTGTCAGATTGTCTTAAAGGGACATTTCCTTTTAAACCCATCATCAAATTAATGGAACATTTTTAATCTCCAGGTTTAACAGCAGGTTCAGCTTGTCATGAGAAAAGAGGACTCCATGAAGCACCGGGGAAATCTGCTAAAACGTCGGGGGCCAAAGTCTGTCCCTACAGTCACCCGTCATCCCAGACCTCCAGTGGATCTTCTGCTGGGAGCCCCCTGTCTACCTCAGCAGATCTTTTTAAGACAACGCCCAAGCACTTCAAGACCATGTGCCGTCGACCAACACCGCCAGGTAACACTTCCTGTGACTCTTAGGCACTTGCCCATTTGAGGCTAGAGGCCATCCCCCTTGTTAGCAAACCTGCCATCCCCCTTGTCCCTCCAGTAGCAATAGAGGGTTTAAAAATACCAAATCGCCTACTGCTTTAAAGGTTTAACAGCATTTACTAAATCTAAATCTAACTAAATATTTGAAATATCTTAATCAACCCGCAATGTTAAACCTTAGGAAAATGTAAGGACTAGTTATTCATATTTAATGATGACTTCCTGTAATAGACACCATTATTTAAACAATATTTTTATATCGCACAGTCAAAGATCTTAAAAATAAATGGCTTGCCTATTTTATTTTAAACTTACTGTCAAAGTAAACTTAGATCATTTATACACAAAGGGGACATATTTGATGTACACCTTAGATATGAGTGGTAAATGCATTAATATTAGCCAAAGCATAAGAGTTCTTTACGGGACAAGTTGTGCAAACTTGACCCCCCTCCCAAGTTACATTTCTGTCTGTACCCGTAACTTATTCAGGTAGTAATAAACCCCTCAAAATAAACTGTGCAGACCAGAAAAAAAACTGATACAGCGTTTATGATTTTGAGTCATTTGTATTTTTGTTTTCTGCTGTCCAGGTGAAGCCTTCCACCCCAGTGACCACCATCAGCACACAGACTTGTCGGTACCCCCCAACAGTCCCACCGGCCTGTCCTCCCAGCATTCCTCCCTCCTGCCTCCAAAGCCGAACTCTGGGCAGCACGGCCACGTCACCTCCTCGTCCGGCGCTGGCGTCGCAGCCCACGCTCCCTTCTCCCCACTGGTACCAAACCTCCACGGCCCCTCAGCCAAACTCAACTCTCCCAGTCCAGACAGTCCCACACCTGTCCATAAGCCCAGCCCCTGCAAAAACTCCCACATTCCTGCCGTGAACACTCAGCACAGCAAACTGGGCACGTCCATCATGGGCTGTAACCACCCTTGCAATGGACACAGTGCGGGGACCGTGGCCCCTTCAAATGCGGGCCATCTGACAGCTGGGGCCTGCAGGTAGGGATTCCTTCTCAACATTGCTTTTTTGAAATATTTTAATCCATCTGCAGTGTTAAATTATAGGAATATCTAAGGAGTAGTTATTTATATTTTATATTTTACAGAATTCCAGACTTCCAGTAGTTTTTCAAGTGTTTCATCAAGCTTTAGGGGACACCACAAAACCGCTTAAAAAATACAAATGCTTTTTGATGGTCAATGTCAATTATGTCTATTTGTGTAGGGACCAGGCGTGTAAGGGGCACAAAATGACTAATGGGACGTTATGCCACCCTTCGTCGGAGCTGGAGGAGGGCGAGGATGAAGACAGCAGCTCTGAGAGGAGCTCTTGTGCCTCCTCTTCCACCAATCAGAAGGACGGGAAGTACTGCGACTGCTGCTACTGCGAGTTCTTTGGGCACAATGCGGTACTTTAAACGTTTTTTTGTTGCTCTCGAGTAGTAAATGAGAGTTTCCCTTGCTTTTTCCTGCTTGTTTAACATTTATAAGAATCTAACATGAAAATATTTTTTGCTATATATCGTTTGGTCACAGCCTCCAGCTGCACCAACCAGCCGTAACTACGCTGAGATCCGGGAGAAGCTCCGCTCACGTCTGACCCGGCGTAAAGAGGAGCCGCCTCAGCGCCAGGATGCAGAGCTGACAGTGGCCGGCGCCATCGACAACCGGGATGTAGACGAGCTGCTGGACTTCATAAACAGTTCTGAACCCAAACCTGTCAACAGTGCCAAGGCTGCCAAAAGGGCCCGACACAAACAAAAGAAGAAGGTAGAGTCACTTAGAAATGTGATACATTTTTTTTTTCTTTTTTTTTTAAATTGTATCCTCTAATATAGGGCATTGTTTTTGAGATGTGGATAATCATACTGATAAAGAACACTACTGTATTCCAAATGCTACCAAGTCATATATATTCTTTAAAACAAGGAATACTAATAATACATTTTTCAAAACACAAACACCTCTAGAATAGTTATAAGCTAAAATTAGACTTAAAGTATAATCCTTTCAATGACTCCAAGCAACACATTTCAAATTAATTAGTTACTATCAAATTAAATGAATACAGCTCTGATATGGCACTAGGAGATTAAAGAGAGAGTGACATCAATGAGATAAAATTACAAACAGTAGCGTTCGATTACAAGAGGCATACTTTAATTTTAACACACATATCACTAATAAAAACAGCTCTATAGAACGTGTATTGCATGATTTAAATTAAGTAAATGGCTGTTGCTTTGATTTAATAAAAAATATTTTGAATGATAATCAAGAAACTAGGGGTGTAACGGTACACGTACCCCGGTTTGGTACACGAAAGAATATAACGTTAAACGTAAAAAATTGAGAACGTGAACAACTTCTTGGAAGTAATCTCAGGTGCTGCGTCGCAGCATTCAGAGTAATTTGCTCACATTGGGTTCAACGCGTCATAGAGCGAGCAAGTCATTTCATTGGACGAGAGGCATACTATGAGAGCTGGTCACAGGGATGCGTTCAAATGTAGTCAGTAATTTGAGGAACTGTCGAAATGGCGAACGCAGATAAAGTTGAGCTCGAAAATCCTCCAGCATCATTGAAGTCTCCGGTTTGGGAACATTTTGGTTTCGCAGTTACGTACAAGGATGACGGACAAAGACAGGTGGACCGAACCAAAGCTGTTTGTCGGCATTGTTCAACTAAAATTGGTTACGCGGTTGGCAATACATCAAACTTGACACTCATGGATTGAAAAGTCATACCCCCAAACGTGGAAATATCACCGGGTACCAAAATAAAAAAAGAACTGAAGTGCCAAACCCAACTCCCTCTAGCATTTAAGCCTCCCACCACTCGCAAAAAGTCAGACCGGAGCAAAGCTATTTACAAACGCCAAATATCCTTATGTCGCCATGATAGCAAAGCGCTACCTGGCTGTATCTGCTACCTCTGTCCATAGCGAGAGGGTGTACTTCACAAGCAGGAGCACATTGTTTAGGCAGCACATCTGGCGGCTTTCGGCAAAGCATGGTGGACCAAGTTCATTTTTCTATAAAGAAACATGAAAATACAATGACAAAGCAAGTCATGATGTCAACACTGGCTGCTTAGGTAATAGTACAGTTCAAATTACAGATTATTTTCAGTTCATCAAATCTGCACCTTAATGTTTATTTTATTATATTTGTATTTATTTGAGAGATATGTCACATTAATAATAATTAAAAACCAAAACTAATAGTTTTATGTGTTGTGAGTGAAGTAGTAAAGTTGCAAATACAGATTATTTCAGTCAGTCGAAATGCTGCACTTAATGTTTTATTTATTATATTTTGTATTTATTTGAGTGAATACATTATTCACAGTTTAAGAATAATAAAAAATATAATATAGTATATTTTATGGTTTGGTGTAATTTTTTTCTGCTGGTACCTAGAAAACGAACCGAACCGTGGACCTATAAACCGGAGGTACGTTACCGACACTTAATGTTGTGATACTATTGAGTACCATCTCTACCAAACACAAATGACCAACGTGATGTCAAATCTACAAATGCATTTTCTGCAGCAGATAGAGAGACAGGCGATGCATCAGAACAAACACAGTACAGATAAAAACATGAAACAGGTGTAGTCATTAAAACAGGGTTTATTTACAAATATTATTTATATTTAAAACTTTTTTTTCTAAAAAAAACACAACAAGTTATTTTTGGCAGCCTTAAAGTGTCAGAGTATAAGAAAAGAGAAACTGAGAATATTAAGACACACATTTTTCATCTGAAACTTAAAGAAATCCTCTCAAGTATTCTCACTGAGAGAGAAACTTGAGGTTTGCGCGTGTAAACCACATGATTTACAGTTAAATAATCCCAGACATGTAAACGTATATTAAATACATGCCATAAGGATCATCAATGTCGAATAACAAATCAGAATGACAAAACAATTATAAATTGCAAAAGAGTTTTCAAAAAGTGATTGAAACTCCCTGAATGCACACAAAAAAGAAAACGTGTTAACCAGCGCGGTTCATTAAGCTTCAACTTCATGAGGATCCTTTCTGACTGATTCAGTCTTTGGTTGTGCATAGAAAGTGATGCATGTCCTTTTAAAACACGTCAAATAACAAAATATGAGTTTTATACAAATACATTCCATAAAAGGCACGCTCTTCCCTTTAGTAAAGAGCTTTCCCAGCAGACTCCTTCATGTCTCTCTAAAAGCTATGAAAACTATAGGGCAAACAAAATGAATACTCAAAGATTTTTAAGTAAAGTAAATTAAATCTACCGTAATTTTCGGACTATAAGCCGGGCCTTTTCCCCTATTTTTCGACGCTGCGCTAATAACGGTGCGGCTATCTATGGATTTTTACAGCTAACGCCAACACCTTTAACTCTATGGGCTCTTTGGCCCCGGTCCGCGGACCCCCACCTTTAAGTGGCGGGTTCCAGTAGGAAAAGCTGGAGGCCGGAAAACGATGAGGACAGGTGGCGCGTAAAAGTGGAGACCGGAGAGTGGTACGCCACTGCTTGCGGGCTTATATTGCAGGTGCGGCTTAATAGTCCGAAAATTGACGGTACTTTGCCCTAAATCTAAGTCAGGTGCTAGGGAAAGCAATCTCAGATGCAGATAAAGTGCTTCTTCACCTTCAGTTCAGCATTTCTTCATGCTTTGCTTTATCATGAAAGGAAAGGTCTTCCAAAATAAGTGAACTCTCTATGAAGTCCCGTGTCTATGGCCATTTCACCTCGCATCAGAATTCCATTGTTGAAGGTATAGGGAGTGCGGTGTTATGCATGCCCTCCCAAAAGGATATGATGACCGTTGTCCAAACCTAACTTTTTCCCAGTACAAATCCATTGAATGCCTGTGAGCTTTGACTTTACCGCTGCGCCGAGCTCCCGCGAAAGTGCAGTGGGCCTAACACCGGCGCCTCCCCCCCTGTTGACAGTTCACGCATTGCGCTATATTGTTTTCCATAACTTTCCAGAACCGCGAATAATGGCATTTTGAATTTCCATGACTTTCCAGGTGTTCAATGACTGTAAGACACCCTGGACTCTGCAGGACCGTTTACATAAAAACCTTCATAACACACAAGGGGGACGGGTAATAACCGGAAAGCATGACATGTGGACCTTTAAGAAAAGCAAAATTATAATATTTAAATACTAAAGCCAGTGAGTAGCACTTGAAATGTTTGGCTCTGTACTGAAACCTGATGTACTTATATGATTCTGTTTTCTCAAAGTTTGTGTCTTCCTGGTCCAATGTAGTTATTGTAGTCTCTTTGGATAAAAGCCCTCAGCAAGATGTAATGTAAACTTCATTTAGACCTCTTCTGATCGATATTAAAGTCCTCTTCACACAAGGCTCAAGATTTAATGTGTCCACATTTGCAATGAGGTTTAATTCAAAACTGATTTTGTCCCAGGTTTTAGCTCATGTAGATGTTGGGTGAGACTTTCTGTGTTCCGACGGTAAACTCTCTCTGCAGTGTTTCTCTGGCTGCCTTCACACATAGCTCAGATCTGAGAGGGATTTATATTAAACTCATTCAGACTGGAATCCTATAATTTTAATTGAGAGAAATATGCATACTTATTATTATTATGTATATATTATTTCAATAGCTGCAAACCTGATGGGGTACAAAAATGTATTTTTTTTTGTAAAGCAGCACCTTTTCAATCTTGCTGGTTTGTCAGACTGAGTTTGGTCCTTAGGTTGAACTAGTCTGATCAATTAAAACGCCTTACCGTTCATTTTATTTTTATAGAAATGTTTCATTTAAATCTTTCTTGTCTAACTTATTTTCCACACCTATTACATTTTTTTATATGAATATAGAATTCCCTTGATTCCGGGCTGTCAAAAATACTAATCATTTTATTATCTTCCTTTCAGGTCATTTTAACGCCTTTCCACTCCACATTCGTACACAGCTTTATGTACGAAGTGTGATCAAACTGAAGTTTATTAAATCCTCTGGGAACATCTGTGTAGAACGAGCTTCAAGTATTTAGAAGTTTTTTTAAATCAGCCAGACATGTTTCAGACCCATGAGGTGTGTGGAAAAGAGGTTAGGTTTACATAAACCTAATTTTAACTGCCCTCAGCAAAAGGCTTTAAGACAAACTCAGGAAACTCAAGATTGTTCACACACATCAGATGTATCGCTAACCCTCATCTGACCTCAGTGTGCTCCTCTGAGGAACTCTCAAACACGGGCCTTGTCCCTGTTAGCCAAACCTCATCTTCTCCCTGCGAGAAGAACCTGCAGCAGAGAAATAAAAACATATATTTACATAAAGTCGACTTTTATACAACACAGAAATGATTATTTACGGCCAAAACCAAACATGTCCATGTTGGCAGTGTGTGTTAGTTACTGACTGAATTCTCAGCAGGAATGAATGTGTGGAATTGACAGATGAACCCTGAGGACAGAGCATCAGACTCTCATCAGCCATCGACTGATACTTTTATTTATACTATATCACTTCTCATTCAGCTAGTTCTCTATTTCACTGCTGTAGATTAATCACAGGTCAGTCGTATGGTATTTTAGTAAAAGAACTTGTTGATAGTTCAGCAGCATGGTGACATAATTGCAGCTTTGGCTAAAGTAATCTGTGAGCAGCCGCACCTCATAAAGCCAACGTTTAATAACAGGAAGCTTTCATAATACATGTAATGGATTCTATTGGTTCTGATCTTCTGGTCCTGTATGCTTGTCTCTGCAACGCTTCATGGTTCCTTGCCTTAGAACACTAAGGGCTCTCTCTGTATAACTTTAGCGAAATTAAATCACAGAACAAAGCTGTTTGGAAACAAAGGGTTAAGGTTGTTTTTAGTTTCAGGCTCCACAGTAAGCGTTGCCAAGGTGTGCCATTGGCAACAATTCAGAAAAAATGTCAACCACTTCTTGGCCTTGCTAGGGATCGCAGGAGCTGTTAGATTAACAAAGCATGCTTATGTAGTTTGTAAAGGCACTGCCTGGCGGCCTGTAGCACCATCCTTGAAGGAGCCTAATGTGTGGGCTGGACCCTGATTTTACAGGAAAGGAGTGAGCCAAGAGAGTAGAGAGCTGTCGAATTCCTTGTTCTGTTTTCTGTGACTATCTGCCTCACAGGCTCTCTGACCCTTTCAGTTGCGCAGTGCACTAAAAGAGACGTTTGTTACCATACGGAAAAGCCAAAAACAATGGTGTAGCGTATCGAGTAAATCTGGATTTTGTCAGAAAATCCGGGAAGAAAATATGACCCCGGAAGAAAACGGGGAGGCAGTGAAATCGGGAGGGTTGACAAGTGTGAACCGGGAGGGTGTGTGGTATTTAGGTGGCCGCGAGAAAGAGACCTTACGTGTGTTGTTGTTAATCATCTGGTGCTACCTAGGCTGCTGCTAACGGATGATAAGGAGTCTTGTTTAAATGAAAACAGAGGCAGACACATTTCGCGCACAACTGGCGCCGAGCACCCTTTGATTTATGCAGGTATGCCAGACAGTGGGACATTGTGGGAATAAGTCAGC